GTCAAAAAGCAGCAGATTTAAAAATAAAACTGATTGTATGGACAATATCATGTCACCGTGTTTTCCCTGGCGTATCCGTATTATTTACTACGGTAAATATAACTTCTATTTTCAATGCCACTGCACTAAAAATAAGTCGCAATTTATTAGACATAATTTAAACCAATGCGGAATAATTTGCATTCTGTCAATACAAAGGACGTTGTTCAAACAGCTCCTGCACATTCTGTCTTTTTTTATTCTGCGCCAGAGCAAACAATGAATCGAAGTAAATCCAGCACACTCTGCTTCTTTTCGCAAGCAAACAAAGCTGCACGTTCGAAAAAGCTGCATTAAATATATTATTCTCGCAGTCTATACTATTTTGGCAAACAGCCGCGAGCACGTATTCAAGGAGAGCATTAAGGCACGTTCACTTTGTTTATTCGTAAGATTTCATACGCACACGGTGCTTTGTTATCCTTCCAAATAAAAATTGAATTCTCCAACGTAGAATATTGATTTATTTCCCGAATGAATTTATCGCTCGAGCAGCACAAGCTATAAAACTGATGTAACAAGAGATATTTTTTATGCTATTAAACAAAAACAAACAGATGTATCAGTCTCCGCCAGCCAGCAGTTATTATTTTTTATTCTGCTCCTCGAATGTACGCATCAGATTTCGAGGAGCATCCGAGGAAAAGAAAGTTCAACCCCTCTCCGTTTTCCCTCTCATCTCCGCACTGCTTTCCGCACTTTTCATGATAATCACCCACCCCATGACTGACATAATAATTCGCTGCCTGCGTTGTGCGTGCGGCGAGATGAAAATTTCTCTCATTTCCTTGCACCTCGCCGACGTCCCCTTTGTTTTGTGAATTATTAACACGCACCAAACTCTGCAGCAGTGCTTTCGCCTCTCGAGACTTTCGCTAATTGTAGCTAAAGGTCGTCAACTGCCGCGCGCATTTCAATTTGAAGCTTATTGTCTTTTTGCAGGAATATGCAAAAATTAACCAAGTATTCGTTTGAAATTTCGTGTGCACATTTAGAATTTTTTGTGCATTAATTTTTATTCAAATAAATACAAAGCACGTTGATAAAAAAAAAAACTAAAAAATGTTAAAAATAAGTATAAATTTTAATATATAAGAATTTCGTTATAGTTATTTTTATTTAAACAGTCATTTTTAAAACATTTTCATATTAAATTATTATTTATTTATTTAAAAGTAATTTTGAAAATGTGTTTGTCAAATTAAGCAAGAACAAGCCCTTAAAAATGATAATCAACATAAGTTCTAGTATAGAATAATTTTAAAGTTTACTCATCTCATTACTTTTATTAAATTGTAGATATAATTTCAACATATAATTATAGTTAGCAGTCGTTTTATTTATTTATTTATTAATGCTCTATCATGTTACTACAACGCAAAAAAGAGTACACTGTAAAAAAAGCGGAATCATGCATCAACATAAAAAAAGTACAAACGTACGCAAAAAAAATGCCGGAAATACAGGAGTCTTTCGTGTGGTTGAAATTTATTTAAATACCATTGGTTATTTGCATCATATTGCCAAGCCTGAGCTCATGCAATTATTATTGGATTCCACTTGACATTATTTAATATGTTTAAACAACACTTATATCATTTGATTTGCAATATTAACTCAAATATTTTAAAGGTAATGGACAAAATTTATAGTACTTAACATAACAATATTTTAATTTGATACTTTAAGTGTTATATTATTTTAACTCGGAAATCTCATTCTTTTCTTTTTGGCTAAAATTTCCATTGAGTGTGCAAAACTCTCAGCAGTCAGTACTGATGCAAAATTCACGAAACCCAGACTTGCCCGCCGGTCGTAAATTGCCCAACAAATCCTGCAGATTAATTAGGCCAAATTGAAACTTTGGCGCTTCGGCCACAAACGCATGCAGTTATTTAGATTCGGGCCACGCACCGCAATATGCCGCCGTAATTTATCGCGGTGTGTGTGTGAGTGTGCGAAAGCACCTTTTAAAGGTTGCGAGCCCACTCTCGGTGTCGAGGCAGCTGCACGCGAAACTCTCTCCGGAGAGGCATGAAATACGACGCCCTCGGTGTCAGAGACGCTCATAATGTGCGGCGGCGGCGGAGGACGAGCGCGCGAAACACCGCCATGAATAAGTTAGACAAGAAAGTGGCAGCAGCAGTTCGCTAAACGCCAAAGTTGTACACTACTTTTCCCCGAGCAGCTCGCAAAAAGAGTAACAAGCTGCGCTTCTGCCCGCATCATCAGATTGCCGCACGCTGGGGTAATCTTTCTGTCACTTTTGAATCGCAAAACAGCGCTGAAAATTGCCACGCGAAAAGCAGTTCCGTCTTTGCAGAGAGAAAGTTGCCGCTGATAACATTACGTCGTGTCGCGAACTTTTGAGGAGATGAGGAAATTTTTGACACTGTCGTTTTCATTTGGAACTCGACGAACTGACGTGGCGTCTGTCGTGTCAAATAAGTCATTCTTCGTCTCCAGAAGCAGAAGTTTTGTGTTTCAGGTTCAATTAAATGTTAGCAGGGCTTATTATTAATTTCTATATTTAACTTGGCCGTCTGAGAACAATGTTATAAGAGAATTATGTATAAAAAAAAATATTATTTAGTTGCAAATTATTTATATTATCTTTATTAACAAAAGTAATACAAAAACAATGCGGTCGGACTACAATACTAAAGGATGGAACAAAACCATTTAAACTGTTTAAAAATTCATGTTTCACCAAAATTAATTTATTTTTGAAGCGGAAATTTTTAATTTACCTCCTCGAACAGTAAAAGTTAAATTTTTGCTCTCGCATAACTCAATATGGAAGGATAAATAAGATATTTTATCAGACATCAGTTTTTCAGTCAATTATAGTTGCATTTAAGGACTAGCGCAGTCAATTACACAAAAAGAGTATGAAATGTTAAATTGTGTATAACAAGAGGAATCTGCGAGAAATAAATAATATTTGAAAATGTTTTGTTTTAGTAAAAAATAGGCGAGTAAAGCCACTGAAATAAATATTTAAAAATATATTTTAAATCATAATAAGAAGAAAAAATTAAATTAAAAGGAAAAAATAAAAATTTGTAATATAAAAATATAATTATTAATATTCTTTTTAGGAACTATTTCATATATTTACTATAATAATACATAAAGTTATATTTAATAAACCAACGAACGATATAGCAAAGAATTGTCAAAAAGGCGCTTTGCAGTCAGTTTTTAAATTGATAAATTGTTTGGTCTAAAAAATTATATTGTGCTGCTCCCTCTTCTCATCAATTGATAAAACTTTTATTCCAAATCTTAAAGGTAAAAATACCCCCCAACTTAATCAAAGTGTATTTATTTCCTTTTACTTATCGTTGAAAATTTTTATCAATTATGTAGTCTCGTCCAGCTTTCTGTTGCAATATTAAATAAAAAAAGTTACTGTTATATATTTGATATTTTTAATTATTTAATTTTAATTTCTGCCGTCAAGCTTTCACGTGCGCCCTAGTTAAATAGCCCGTTTTAAAAACGCCTCGCGAATTATATATGTGAAAGATGCCAATGACAGGGCATTAATCCACAGCATGCTGTTATTGCTCGCGTGTGGCGAAGATGGAATGAGGTCTTCGAGAATGTGTGCGATCTGGCGGGCGGGCGAGGGTGTCCGGCGTTAAAAGAGGTCATTCACGTCTTGCAATTTTTAACCTGACTCAACATCTGTTTGCCGGAGACACAATTTCTCACTTAAGCCGCGTGTAAACAAAAATCACTTCTTCTTCCTCTAATTCTGCGCGATCTCGGGGAAAAAAGAGGGCTTTTCGCAGCGCCGCTATTGATATCTTTCCATCAAAGCACACACATAACTCACGGCGTCACAACTGCACAGTTGGGATTAATCGATGCGGCGAACGAACGCGCTCTGTCTAATTTATTGACTCTGCCAAATTGGCTTGGCCTGAATTTTTGCTTCATCTCTCACGCGCAGATTTATTTCGGGTGAACTTTTGATTGCCAATTCTTCTCTTTTGACGTTTATTTCATTTTGCATGCCATTCGAGCGGTCGTGAAAACTTACCCAATAACTCTTCACTCCGAAAAATGAAAATGAGACTTGAAAAAATTACCGTTTCGTTGAAAACTGTTGAAGTTTGAATAATTTTGTTCTTCTCGGAAGCTCCTGAAACTGTCCAAAGTCAACAGCAATTGGCAAAAGTTGGAAATTGGTCTGTTTTATTTCTCTTGCAGAAGAAATCCAGTTGATGAATTAAGTGGTGCAAGCAGAGCGCGCGCGCTCGTGCTGAAAATTACGTTTGTTTTGGCAAGTGTCCTCTGCAAACCAAACACTTGAGGCCTTTTGAAGCGCGCCGGGGCAAAAGTCTCTCGCTCTAACTAATATTAGCCACACTGATAATTGTGTTTCCAACCGCACGTACGCTCTCTCAGAAACCAACTGTGATGTAATGTACGTAAAGTATGTTCGGCCAGAGAATGAATGACCCGCGCGAGAAAAGGCCAACGTGAGCTGCCGCTGGTTAGTTTTGGTTTCCTGCTGTTTTCTCAAGAAAAGTATATAAGCGCCGAGCGGAGCAGAAAAAGGAAGCTCTTTCTTTCTCGGAACCGTCCGCTGGAATAAAGCTGCCGACCGACCCCGTTTGTTTAAAGCTCGGCTCGTTGTTAGGCAAGGTTGAGGCCGTGCTATTTCATTATAAGCACCTGCTGTGGTGCAGAAATATTGGATAAATAAACACATGCGGGGCTGCTGCGGCTGCCATAAGAGATAATGTTCTCGGAAATTGGCGGACGTCAATCCGCATTATCATGTGTGTTTCCTGCAGATGTCTGGATTTTTATATTGTCAACCTTCAAGTTTCAATGAAACATTTTGAATGAAAAAGTATTCTTAGAAATAAACTAATACATATATATTTTGAGAGATTATTTGTTGTAATGTTCGAGAGTGATAAATTATGTCATTTTTGTTTCAGGTGAGAGCTAAATCGAAGTTTGAAGTGGCTATATTTTGAGGGATTAGGTATGTTCTCATGATTTTTTTGTTTATTAAGTAAGGTGGCTTGTATATCTCGCAGTAATTAAGAAAAGCCTTTGTAGATATTAAAATTTACAATATTGAAATTCCAACGTAGATTTCAAAAGCAAAATTTTTTAAGAAATTTCTTGAATTTCAGCCTCTGGCAAATTTCTCATCTTCATCCAAATATAAATAATTCACTTCTCTGCTTCCAACTTCCAACAAAATATGAAAGTCAAACCAGCAGAGCTCTAAGAATTCCTGCTGTCAAAATCGCTTGAATGCAAATACAATTCAAAGAAAAGTCGGAAAATCGTGAGTTGCCTCCTCTAAAACTCTCGGCTCTATTGATTTTCCAACCTTCTCGGTGCTCTCGGCAAGCCTAATTCCGAGAAGCGAAAATAAAAATGCCATACACACCTCTCTATGGTGCGCCCCATTCAACGCTGGCGAAATTTATGTGCGGTGGGCGCGGATCGACCCCATATACGCTCTTCAGCTTTTCTCTTCGCCAAACTCGCCACCTCCAAGTACTGCATTTTCCGTAGACTTACATTACGAAAACAATATCCAGTGCCCGTTTACACCCGCCTTGTCTGAACAAACGTCGAGCTCCTTGCCAGAGAGGTGAAGGAAGAAAGGATTCACTTGGCAAACGTCTGTCATCTTGCTTGAGGCATCCATTCGGTGATCTTTATTTATTTAGGTCTTCAAAAACGCTTTTGACTTCAAATATAAATGGCGTGCGCTGTCTATGCTGCGTCAAATTCACGCCGGGTGCTGTTCAAATAAATGTTCTCTGCGTTTCAAATGCAGCAGAATTACTTCCAAAAACAACAAACGTCTAACAAGTGAGCCTTTGACGATTCATCTATGCAAACGTTTGAACCACGATTGGCACAAGGTTGAGAATGTCAATATTAGTTTCTAAGTAAGACTGAAGTGAAGAATATAATATTTAATTAAATGAAAGTAACTTAAGCCATATTTCCTTTGTCGATTATTGAAATTATCTTCCAAAATAGATTAAAATTATTTTATCAAGAATGAAAAATATTTTTTTTTTTCAATTCAGCAAAATTTTTTTGGAGTCATCAAAATTTGAAATTTTCCAATAGTTCATTTTATTTATTTCCATCTTTGAAAAAATCAGAAATCTTGCTAAATTGTGATTATTAACATATTTTTTTTTCATTTTTATAATTTAATTTCCTTTCAGCAAAATATTTCTAAGATAGAAAAATTAAATTTTTAAGGAGCAATCTTACAATTAGAGGTTATTTTTAAATTTAAAAACCTATTAAAATGAATTTCAAGTGGATAGTATTTGACGCCCACTCTTTTAATATAGAGATGGCCCTAGAAAACGGTTCATTTGTTATTTCAACGAAAGGCTAAGCAATTTCCTTTCCTTCACGTTTCCTTTCCCAGTGCAAAGATATAAATTGTTGTTCTTCCTGCCTCGGTGCGTTTCGTCGACGCAGGTCGAGCGAAATTAAATTCGCTTTCACGGTTAGTGTGCGAAATGTGCGGTAAAATCTGTCTCCGAGAAAGGGCTACAGACAGGAGCAGAGAAAGAGCAGGTGTAACTCAATAAACAGGCGGCGACGGGTCCTGTGTTGTGGAGAGAGAAAGCGAAATTTCAAAGGTGAAGCTCGACCTTAAAAGCACTTTGCCGAACACACCCACCCTCTCACAGGAGCGCACTTGCTTATTACCGTAGAGCCTTTGTGCAGTCAGGTTGCATAAACGTCCGGACGTCTTTTCAAGACACTTACTTACTTTGCTTGCTTGCTTTCGAGCGACTCTAATTTAATTATTCATCTTGCGGCTTCTTCGCGAGCACGCCCAAGAAAATTTAATATTAAATAAAGCGGTAAAAGCAGCATCAAGCAGCGCTCATCAACTTTGTTAGCTCACGTAAATGTGAGCGTGCATCAAATTTATTGCTTTCGCCGTCGATTTAATTGGCAATTTATTTGAAAAGAGTGACGCCACCAACGTCTCCTTCACTTCCGATATGGTTACTTTGTATAGAAGAGAATCCAAGGCTTTTGGTACGCATTTTATCAAGACCACTCAAGCACGGACTGAACTTAATAATGTAGCAAAAAAAAGTGCCGAACTCGCAATCTTCAATTGAACATCACATATTATTATCTTGCTGTTTACAAAATTGATTGTTAGCAACTCCCAAAATTCATTCAAAAATTGGCCAATTTAAAGTAAAGCCAAAAAACAGATTAAAAATAGAAAATGTCAAAATAAATCCCTACAAAATATATTTACTAAATAATAAAATAATATATTTCAGTCAATGGAAATTTTTTTTCTTACAAAAAAACTGTTTAAACGGTTTGTTTTTATACATTTTGAGTCAATTAATATCAGATAAGTTTCAGGTAATTATGATCACGTTCATGAAGCGATCAATTTATCTCTGTAGTTAATCAAAGAAAATTTTAAGAATGTTTCCTTTCATTTTCTAAAATTTGAAGTTAATTTTAATTAAATATTTAATGTACTAGATTAGTATTTACACAGAATAAATCTCTAATTTATTGTTAGATTTAATACAGCAGAGACTTATAAATATAAACAACGCTATTTTTTCATCCAGTCCGTACCTGATACCAATAAGTGCATCTTTTTTTCCTCCTTTTCATGCAACTCTATGTGCATCTTGTTACCCTGCAAATCCGCTTCCTTGACCTTTTCTATTGGATCCTTCGCCTTATGTACGGCGTTGACGAGATGCAAAAGAGGCCCCCATTATCGAAGCTCTCTTGGCAGGCACATGATCCTCTCGTCCCGCCTACAAATCGCTCTAGAACCCTTTCGCAAGCCCAACAACAAACCCTTGTGCGATCGGAATTGCGCGCAATTGTGTAGGCTTATGTCGGTATTTTATAATTTCAAGCGTGCCACTGTTTGTTTTTCACTGCCGAGAGCACTTTCACACTCGTGTAATGAAAATGTAAATCAGCGCCTGCTAATTCCCGGTCAAACGCCCTTTGAAGTTGCACTCGCGTTAATATTGCGCCTCCCGCGTTGTTGAATATTTTCGCATAAACGGCGCCGTCAAATTGAATTTTCACGCAAAGAGGCGAAAACGCGCACGTTCGAATAAATTGCACGGGAAAAATCCAAGGTCGTTTCATATTTATGTGCATATTGCGCAAATGTGTGGAGCTCAACAGTGAAATTGAAAATACCGTTGTTTGTGTGTGGTGGTTGCATATGTGCCAGATGTCGAACAAAGTCCCTTTTGTCGGGTCAACACGTTGGGTTTGCAAAATTTATTTCTGTCCATCAGTTTCCCAGCGTCCAACTTTGGTCTGCATGCGTGTTTTGTTTTGTACATGTTGCGGGCTTATTGAAAATGCATGAGGCGTTGCCGAACAAACAGAAAACTTTTTTGCCCTTTTGAATAGCCTCAAACTCTAAACATATATTTATAAAAAGTTAAATTACAGTAGCATCCAGCTTTGAGATTTGAGATAGAATGAAATTAATACATTTAATTCTATAGAAAAGAATATTATGTCTATACTTGTACTGGACAATTTTTTTTTTTTTTTTCAAAAAATCAATGCATAACAAAATTTTTACATAACCTTTTTTTAATAATGTTTTTTTACTTGATATACCACATTATTTTTCAAACATATTATATTTTCATTTTAAACATTTTGGTTTTTACTTACTTTTTAAAGATTTTAAATATTTTCTATTAATTGAAATTTAAATTTTTTAATCTTACATAATTATTTGATTCCGTTTACTATTGAAGGAATAATTAAATAATATAAATATTCATAATTATGTATATAATGATGGGTTGAGAAAATTAACAATATTGTTTGCAACTAAAGTTAAATTTTTTCAAGGTCAGACATTTCCATTATGTCCTATAAAACAAAATTCCTATAAGTGTCCTAAATTTTTAATTTCATTGTTGCTTGATATGCAATGATTTTGTTTATTATTTAGTTCTTTACATAGATTCTGATTGCAATATTATGTTTCACGTGTTTGCAGAATTTTAATGGTGTTAGGAAAATTAATTTTAAACATTACTTTTAACATTGGTCATATTCAAACTTTGCTCGTTTTACAACACAATAAATCTCAAATTCAAATATGCATCCAATTTTATTTCAGGTTTTCTTATAATGTACAAACTCAAAATTGTATCTTCCATCTGGAAATTGGCATCCTCTCCGCAGCAATATGTCTATCTTGTTGCTTTTTCCACCACAGCCGTGACAATTAGAGTCAGAGCGAGAGAAAAGAAGACAGGCTGTCAAGGTGCGAAAACCGATCACTTAATTGCTCACATTGCGAGTGTGCGAAAAAGGCGGTGGAGTCTCATTAGTTGCAAAAAGCGAGAGAGCGACCGGCTATTGATTGTCAGGCGCGCGCGGCAGACGAACGAACGAGTTTCGAGGGCGCGCCGTCTGCTCCAGAGCCCTCGGCGTTTCGCATTATTATTTTTTGCGCGCGGCCACGGTGGCACCACACAAGAGAAGGGTTTTGTGTCTTTGCTCTTGAGGCTGCTGCCTCGTTACCCTATGCAAGTGAGCGAGCGTTCGTGCTCGGGTGCGTGGTTAACCGCACCACGTGCCCTAATCCCGACACCCCCCGCCCGCCTGCCAATGCATATCAAAGCGTGCGCGATCGCTTTGCGGCCGGATCCAGCATTTGTTGTGCTCCTTTCCACCGGGAAATCGGACCCCTCGCGGTGATTCTCATTGAGCCCCGGCTTGATTGGCCGCCGCGGAAATTGCCTTCTCTGCGACGTGATTTTCACCGCTGAAAGAACACACGGCGGCTTGAAAACTGAATTACGACCGGAAAATGCCAAACGTTATTTTCATTACAAAGGTGATCGCGTTTGTTGAAAGTAAAAGCGACCGTTGCCGCTCAAAGGAGCTCCCGAAAATAACTTGAAAAGTACAAGAGCAAGCAAAAAGGTCAACCGGCTGATTAATTGGAAAAGT